AGGGAGGAAAGGATGGATAGGTGGAGGGAGGGAGGAAGGGAGTATAGAAGGAAGGGGTGGATGGATGGAGGGAGGGAGGAAGGAAGGAAGTATAGAAGGGAGGGGGGAGGAAGGAAGATAGTATAGAATGAAGAGAGGGAGGAAGGGGTGGATGGATGGAGGGAGGAAGGAAGGAAGTATAGAAGGAAGAAAGGGAGGATAGAAGGAAGGGGTGGATGGAGGGAGGGAGAGAAGGAAGGAGAAAGGGAGGGAGGAAGGAAGCAAGAAAAGGAGGGGAGGAAGGAAGGAAGTATAGAAGGGAGGGAGGGAGAGGGGGAGAAAGGAAGGAAGGATACTCTGGTGTAAGAACTCCTAACATGCATGTTTTTGGTCTGTGGAGAAATCACACGTATGCACAGAGAGAACATGCAAACTCCACCCAAAATGGCCCCCGGCCGGGATTCTGTCTGTCGACCTGCTTTCTGAGAGGCTGCAGCTCTACAAAATGCACCACCGTGCTGCTGTTTGTATCTTTATCATTATGATTTTAAAATGATATGTGTGTGTGTGTGTGCTTCTTGTCCGTTATGTGCTTAGTGGACCAACAACAGCTGATCTTCCAAGGCCAGCAGATGAAAGACTCCGAGGTGCTGTCTGAATATGAAGTTCAACATAAGAGCACTATACATCTGAGTCTGTGTGGTCGAGGTAAAACACGAGGAAGTACGGATATAACGTAGCTGATATTTGAAAGTTTTTAAACAAAATGCATCATTCCTCTCAAACATTTGCCAGAAAGACAAACTGATCATAGCCATCTTCATCCATATTTGATTTTTTTTTTGGTTGTTGTGGCAAAAACAAAGAATGACACAGGAAAAAAAATCAACTCTGTAAATTGTATGAGTTTAATATTTAACAAATATCTCTGATAAAAATGGAGTGCAGCGGTTTCATAACAGGGCTAGTATTAGGTATTATTGGTAGTATTATTATTATTGTAAGGACAGAGGCTGATGAGTAGAGTGGCTGCAGCTGCGGCTGATAAAACAAGAAGCAGATGGGCTGGAAAAGTCCTGACTGAGGGAAAAGTGGCACAACGAAATACACGAAGACTGATCAAATTAAAAATAAAAACAACGAAACTAAACACAGGAATCACAAAACGGAAAATAAATATAAATAGAGAAATTGGATTTCCTGCGGAAATGGAGAG